CTTTTAATTGAAAGCTAAACGATTAAATTGACTATTTCCAGTAGTTATAATTCTTTGCTGTGTTTCAAATAGAAATTATATAGATTGGAATGTCAAATATTTGCACGATTTCAAAAAATCTGTTTACTGGCGGTCATTTCTTACATTTTAACAAGTTTTAAAATAAAATTTAATTATTGATTTCAAAAATCTTCCAAAAATAAGATATATATTTGTGACATCTTATTTGGTTAAAAATTAGCAAATTTAAAGTTAAATTAATCTGATTTGAAACAAATATTACTAAATAAAATAAAAATAGTATAAGCCTTTCTTAACAACAGTTCTGTTTTACTCTATTCACGTTATCGATAAGCTACAAGGTGTTGACAGCTAATATGAATTAGCAGAATTTACATAAATTTACTAAATCTAAAAATGAACGCATATTTTTCAGCAAATATCTAATATTTTGTTGACTTTTAGTTACGTTTGGGTTTGAAGATGCTTCATGAAAAAATAATAAAATTTGAAATACTATAACATTTTCTTAGATTAATTTAAAAATTTAATAACTGAGATGAAATACCATGATAGGGGTAACTCATTAATTTATGACCCACACTAAAATAATTACATAAAATAAGAAGTAGTTCGTGAAATAGAAATTAAAAAAGTAAAACTTTCTTTAAATTTTAAAGTTTTAAAAGCTGTTGTAACTTAAGCAATGAATAATGAATTGGAGACAAGCGAATTTTTCTGTAAAAAGTGGACAATTCTTAGAACACATGACCTTTTCATAATAATGTTACGTATAGACTACCATAGATGAAAGATGGCAATGCTTAAAGTAAAAAAACAAAATTTTAATTATTTAAAAAATACTAGTGCAAAACAACTTATATCAAGAATTTTAATTTTTGATTCGTAAATATACTTTCTACCTAACTACAGTCTCACCTAAAAGAAATGCGCTGTGGGAAATTTTTTAAATTATTATAATTAAAATTTTAAAATAATAAAAAAATTCTTGTAAAAATTCACTATTCATCTAATTTTTTTTAAGACAATAATGTCCTAAGTATAACTCATTTACAAAAGCAATTAAAAGCTTTTCTAATTAAATAATAGTTTTATTACATTTTTTTAGTTTACCATTCGGGGCAGATTTTAAGAAAGCGAGTAAAAGTTTGAAAAAAAATTGGATGATTTATATCCTCCAAGGAGTCCCACTTTTAACTAATAAAAAAGTTTGGACATCCTATTTAATTTCTCGAAATTTCATGAAATTAAGTAAGTCGGGTGTAACATATGTTAAAAAAAATATATTTTTACCAAAATTTTCTAAAACAAAAAATTTCAAAAATAATTTCATTCATTTGTGAATAAGTTCTGAATAAGCGCTACAATAAAAGGAGAATTTCTCGAAATTTCATAAAATTAAATAAGTTGGGTTAACAGAGCTAAAAAAAATACTTTTATGAAAATGTGCTGAAAGAGAAACAGTTATAAGATAATTTAATTCATTTGTGAATAAGTTCTGAAAGTTTCATTAAAATCAGAAAATTATTTTGCAAGAATTCCCAAATTCACCGGAAAAGAGCGCAAAAACACGTCATTGTAGAAATTACTTACGTTGCTTACGTAAAACAAGATTTTTAACCAACATTTTGAACGTCTTAGAAAGGTTTAATTTTTTTTTTAAATAATTAAAAAATACTTTGGCTTTTCCTCTTAATAATAAGAAATATTTTGACGATAAAACTTCTTTTTTCTCAAGTTTTGTGCTTTTTTTCAACATGCTATGCTGTTTTTTAGCGAAAAGCGGACGTGCCTAAAGCTAAAAAAATTACATAGCATGGTAAAACAGCCTTAAATTTGATGAAAACAACGTTTTATCGTCAAAGGAAGCGTGAATCAGCTTGATTATAAACTTACACAATTACAGGACTATGTGATAAATAATAGGTTGTGGCACGTGTGTGTGTGTGTGTGTCTGTGTGTGTGTGTGTGTGTGTGTGTGTGTGTGTGTGTGTGTGTGTGTGTGTGCGCGCGCACGAGCGTGACTTTTTGCTGGAAACTGACAACTAAATAGAAGACTGCATTTGTCTCCAATCTATGACCATGCTACTGAGTTGAGCGATATCATTTGTCTAAAATCATTACTGCCATTAATTTTCCAAATAAATAATAAATTTTCTTTTTCTTTTTTTTTTTTTTTTTCGAAACATTGTTTCGCAAAACGTTTATGTAAGTCTATATGAGACTTTATTAGTTAAAAGTGGGACTCCTTGGAGGATATAAATCATCCAATTTTTTTTCAAACTTTTACTCGCTTTCTTAAAATCTGCCCCGAATGGTAAACTAAAAAAATGTAATAAAACTATTATTTAATTAGAAAAGCTTTTAATTGCTTTTGTAAATGAGTTATACTTAGGACATTATTATATGAAAAAAGCCTCTGATATATGGAAAAAGCTTCTTATATATGGAAAAGACCTATGGGTCTCATTCCAGAAAATAAGTCAAAGAAAAAAAGAAATGTGTTTTTAAAATCAAAAGAGCCAAAATTGTTTGCAGTAGGATAATATTTAGGTACCTTCAAAGATTCGCTAAAAAATGATCATACATAATAAAAAAAATGACCCAAATTTTATAAAACACAAAGTGTTATCGTCAAAATCTTTATTACTAAGAAAAAAGACCAAAGATTTTTTTCTTATTAAATTATATTTTTTAATCCTTTTTAGAATCTTTAAAATTTTGGTTAAAATTTTCTTGCCTTAGCGGGTGGCTATAAATTTGTATGGAAATTTTAGCGTCGTTTGCTCTGAAGAACACAAATTGATTTGGGAATTCTTGCAAAAATCAGATAATTGTCGGATTTTGATAAAACTTTCAGAATTTATTCACAAATGAATGAAATTATTTTAGAAATATGTTTTCTTTTTTAGCACATCTTCGTAAAAGTATTTTTTTTTTTACCTCTGTTAATCCAATTTGAGAAATTCTCCTTTTTTTGTAGCGCTTAATGTTTATATTAGGACTACTGGAAAATATACTCTTAATTGTAAAGTAAAAAATGCAGTAAAACTAAGATTATTTATTTAGAAAAGCTTTTTAATATTATGGACACTATTGTCTTAAGAAAAAAAAATTTTTGATGAATAATGAATTTTTACAAGAATTGTTTTCATTTATTTTTAATTTAAATTAGAATACATTTAATCTTTTAAAATTCTGTATTAATTTGTAGCGATCAAGTGATATTATTATTAAATTAAATCTGTAATCATAAATGTAAAAGCTCAATATAATTCAATGACTGAAATTATTATATGTATGTGAAATAGGTCATCGTTTATAAAAAGAATTTTGAATTATTTTACGTGTTTATACGGATGTCCAAACGCAACATTATCAAAAAATCAGAGCGATACCTATAGTAAAGATAAAATTTATTAGCAATTTTCTAACATTTCTTCAACATAGCGTCTTCGTAAGTAACACTATAAAACCAAAGTACCTAAAATTCAATGAAATATTAGAATACTTAGAAAAATATATAAAAAAAGTTGTTCACGTTATACTCAGCAAGTAATTCTTACAGTAAATGTCCCCTTTAAAAAAATTCACAAACAAGTTTATGGAGAAAGTTGTCAACACATCTTAAAAATATTCTGCGATATTGTAAACTATAAGTAAAATTTGTTTGAAATCTGATTAATTAAACTTTAAATCGGCTAATCTTCCTCAAATAAAGTTTCAGAACATTATATTTTATTTTTAAAAGTTTTTTTTTAATTAAGAAAATTATATTGTGTTGACAGATTTGTCAATATGAATGATTTTGGCGTTTTTACTGGTAACAAAAAAAAATCCATTCCAATCAATTTAAATTCAGTTTGAAATACGGCAAAGTATTTTGATTATTGCAAATATTAAATTTAATCAATTAGCAAAGAGTTAAAACTAAAATAAAACCTTCAAGAAAGATTTTTCATTTTCAAAAATTTAAATCTTAGATATTGCTTTTATTTGGAGATATCTAATAATAATTATAAAATATTAATTTTATGGGAGGATCAGATAAAAAATATAATCAGGAATCTTTAGAACTTAACATCTGACTTAGCCCCCACTCCTCGACTTTTTACTTCCTGGTGCAGTGTCTAATATATATATATATATATATATATATATATATATATATATATATGTGTGTGTGTGTGTGTGTGTGTGTGTGTGTGTGTGTGTGTGTGTGTCTGAAAATGTTATGAAAATAATAAAGTAGATAGACGATAATGTTTGAAAAGGTAAAAACACAGAGAAAGACATTATTAGTCAGCAAATTGTCCTTTCTTCATGTCGCTACGTGACATCAACGTAGGCCAGCGACACGCGTTTGACCGCAGAAAGTGAATTGAAACGACTGTGGTTAAATCAAAAACCACAAGAAAAAGACCGATGCAGCTGCTAAGACAATCGAAAGAAAAGTAAATCCTAACATTTATAATGTGGCAAGGGCACTTGCGCGCGCACGCACACTCACACACAGATGCACACACACACACGTGCGAGCACGCACACGCACATATGCACGTGCATGCACACACATATAAGAAGAAAAACCGCCAAACACGAAAATAAATAACGAAGACAAATCCACAAATGAGTGATTGCTCATATATGGGGAGAGTAAAAGATTTGCTTGCTTGCGCGCACGCACGCACTTAAGCACACACGCGCACGCACACACACACGCACGCACACACACACACGCACGCACACACGCACATGTAAAAATCCGAAAAGCAGATTGCCCTCATATGTATCTCAATATATACAAGTAGATATATAAGTATATTTGTACACATAATGACAAAACGGTGAGTAATTAATGCGTGCGTGTGGGTGGGGGTTTTTACTTTTAATATGTGTACAATTACAGAGGCAGAGATATACAGGCTCAAGATTAATGACATATACAAGTTCTACATACAAATGTCGTGCTTTCAAGATTAAAAGTGTGTATAGATAGATAGATAGATAGATAGATAGATAGATAGATAGATAGATAGATAGATAGATAGATAGATAGATAGATAGATTTTGGTATTAATTAATTGACGTTGATATATCATATGAACTACAGCTGATAATATTTAATTTTATTGGAAAAAACATACAAGAATCTTGTCGTGGTGTGAGATGCATATCGTGTATTGTTCATTACATTAAATATATCCAATAGGATGATTATTTACATTTATATTTTTTTTATTTAAGATCGATAAAGATTATCAAAGGTTGTAATAAAGATAAAACCTGAATTAAGATGTAGTAACGTTAGTGAGGAATATGAACACAACGTTGGAAATTGGAAAATAGTTTAACAGAGAGCAATAAAATGACTTAGGAATGTTCGAAAAAGAGATTTGAGAAAAACTAAAAAAAAAAAAACGATTGGCCTGCAAGGAATTGTTTGAAGAAGCTGATTTTGCAAATTTATAATTAAAACATTACCTCAGGACATAAAAGCAATCAAACTACCACATTTAAGTAAACATCACAAAAAAAACAAAAAAACAAGATAAGTGAAGAAGTAGGTGAAAAATGTTTTCGCATCAATAATTTTTAGTGATGAATGTAGAGCTCTATTGTTTGGGCCTATAAGCTAGACTAACTCTTGGGACAATAACGACTTACAGGACAACAGGATTGAAGAAGTGAGTAATCTTTTGAAGGATTATTGCAAGCAATACAATTATAGATCCCTACAAAGTTGATGATAGAGTCCAGATAAATACTGATTATTATTGTAAGTTCTCGGTCAAGATGTTTTTAAATGATCTGGGTTGTAACCAAGAAGCTGTCGATATCATTTAGTTTCATTTATAAGTAAAATTTATGTTGCATAACTTTGCTTAATAAAATCTGGTATGCCCAAAATAAGAATAATATAAGGCTAAAACCAAAACGATATATTGTTCATATAAATATGAATATAAACGTAATACACACATCCCTTTGTCAATATAAATTTTATTGTCAGTTAATATCAATTTTCTTCCATAATAAAAAAAATTTCATAGTGTAGATAGATCTGTCAATAGATAGATAGATAGATATGAACAGAATGATATATATATATATATATATATATATATATATATATATATATATATATATATATATATATATATATATAGGAGAGAGAGAGAAAAACAAGCTGAAATTATTATATGTATATCGTTTTGTTTTCTGCATGGATTAAAAGCTCTCAGGGATATTTTATGACTTTGAAATCGGGATGATCATACTGAGCAAATCACCTAAAGAAATATTGTTTTTATTAATCGACCATCACCAAAATTCTCTTAACTGAAGTGGTGACTTGCCTCCCTAAACACACACACACATATATGGAAAGAAATTCAATAGATGAATGTAGATTTTGTCATAATAATATATTTTATTAGATACGTACACGTGTGTATGATCGGCCATTTCCTGAAGGGACACGGCCCATAAAAGGAAAATAAGAAGACGTTTGCATATACAAACATGATTCTGTCTCTTTGTAATGTATTACAGATTAATCTGAAAACGTCGAACTCCGCTCTTGTTTGTACGTAAACAAAGATCGATACACTCTTATTGAAATTAAATACATAAACAGAATCATATGTGTGTGTGTGTGTGTGTGTGTGTGTGTTACACAAAAGTCTATAAACATGTAACTTTATATATCTACTTATATATGTGTGTGCGAGTGTCAGTGTGTTTGTGGATGGTTTATAAGCAAATGCACGTAATTTTGTCTCGAGTGGCATCCATTCACAGGCTATGCGTATCTAGTTCGTTAGTCGCTCGACGTTGTGAGTTCGATACTTGCTAGTTGCTAATTCCCTGAGAATTGTAGCTTTTCCTTCAGCTTCGAAAGAGGAGCACTCGCATGTAAACATTGTTACAGACAACATCCAGCATGAATACAAAAGTAGAAAAATAAGCAGCTAAATACATACACACGCCAAATCCTTCTTCGCTGTTTCTTTTCACTGTTATCCCTATATACTTACATAAATTATAAATATATGCAGGCATATGAACGCATAACACATATTAAACATACGCATGTAAAAGTTTTAGACCTATAAGCAAAAATTCACTTAGCGCCTGCCTAGTTTTTTGTCATTCTTATGATCTGAAATGGGAAGAGGAGTTATTTTAGTTATGCCCATCTTCTCACCATCTTCACATCTATCAATGATCTTTGTAGAACCGATAGGATATATTGCATGGAAAAGTGAATACATTTTTCCAAGCGTATTTGGTTGAATAGAATACAGACCCGTCCAGAATTCGAACACTGATGCTTTTCATAGCGATAATCATAATATCGCTTATACCTGAGGAGGTCTGGAGTATTTTTAAACAAAGATACTAAGGGTGTTGAAATGTTCTCGGCCCGACTAAAACGGGGTTCTAAATAAATCTGATGATTCGTTATTTAATCAGATTTTGGAAATTGTGTTAGGCGCAGACCCTTTCAGCACCCCTGCTCACATGAACGTAGCTGTATGCGAACACACAGATACAACGTGTGCCAATTCATCGATTGATTGCATCTAGCTAAGTGAGATTGACTCTCTAAGGTCTTCTGACATAGTAAACTAATCATCAGCCAGCCAATTGGGCTAATTTAAGAATTCATCAGATATAAATATTTACATCTACTGCCTTAATTGATCGCTTTTTTTTTCCTTCTGCCTTCTTTAAACTTTTGACAAAGGCAGTTTTTCTTGAAAAAATGTAATTGTTAATACCTCAGAGAAAAGGGTTCGATTTCTGAGTACATATTTTGGAAACTAAATTTATGAGAAGCTGTTTTTTGACTTATTATTTATTTCAAAATAAAGGAGTTTTCTGGCTGATATTAGCACAACTAAGAAACAGAATTATTAAGTTTTAGTCTAATGTGCCGACAAGTACATTCATTTCTATGAATATCTATACGGCACAGAGACATATTAAAAAGGATGTAAACATTCTTCGAAAGATTACATTCATAAATATCTGTAAAATATATATATATATATAATTGTAATAAATAAATATATAAATAGGGAGTTGATGAAACGATTAAGAACATTGAAGCTGGAGTCAGAGAACAGCGTTCCATTCCTAGTTGAGGTAGTTTGAGTTCACTTCGCACTAAGGGTCTTCGAAAAAACCCGAGTACGTCTCTCCCAGAGATACACATGACTGCTGGTATCATGTAACCTAGTACAAACTGTCGCATGTTGGGAAGGAGAGGACATGAAGAAAAGGAGGTAAAACACATTACCCTGAAAAACACAATGCATGGTACATAGACAGTATACTAAGGCATGGAATTATACATTATATATATATATATATATATATATATATATATATATATATATATATATATATATATATATATGCAATTAAAAAACTATGCACGGAACTGATAGATAGATAGCTAGAGAGAGAGAGAGAGAGATGGCGCATAACATATTCTCCCTCTGTGTGTAAAGTGCAATAAATCTGCATTCTGATGAACAAACAAAATATTTCGTTTTTTATTTAAATCTTTCCCAAATACCAGTTCAGATTTTTGTGCAAAATTTTAGTGTTTTTCATTTTATGAAATTTGTTTTCTTTTGATCATTAATAGCAAATTAAGAATTAAAATATTATAAATTGTTTGATTAAATCGTACGCGTGTAGTACACGCACACCTCACCATGAATAGGGAAATGGAAATTAGATTAGTCTGCTGCTCCAAGGCTACAGTCTCATGACACACAATCAGAGTGGAAGGGGAGCGAAACGAACCTGTGCTAATTATTCGTTTACACACGCACACGCATACATACGCACATACATACATGCATATACATATGTAATGTATAATACATAGAGGTATAATACACACATAAATAGAAAGAGATGTTGAAATATACATACAGACATAAACACATATACGAGTATTTTCAGTGTTTTTATATACATCGACAGAGAGAAAAGGTTAAAGATTGATTGAAAAATACATATTGCTACTCTATGAATGTGATTGATATATATTCTCTCTCTCTCTCTCTCTCTCTCTCTCTCTGTATATATATATATATATATATATATATATATATATATATATATATATATATACTTACATACATATGTGTGCATAATGTCTGTATATATGTATGAGCATGGATACATATTCATATATAATAACCTGAGATACGTGCAAGTATGTGTGCGTAAAGCTCTTACGTTTAAAGTATAAGTATTTAGAAAAATTACTGCAATTAAAAAACTATGCACGGAACTCATAGATAGATAGATAGATAGATAGATAGATAGAAATTTTTAGAGAATTTGAAACGTTACCCAGAGGTAACTTAACTTAAGAGCAGTATGGTTTTAAGGTTATTTTGCCTACATACATCACTATAGTAATCACACACACACACAAGTATATATATATATATATATATATATATATATATATATATATATATATATATATATATATATATATATATATATATATGTAGAGAGAATCAAAACACATACGATGATATAATTATATAAGTACGGTTTTATATATATCAGTTCAGATTTTTCAATGCAGTACTTTTGTGCAAAATTTTAGTGTTTTTCAATTTATCAAATGGCAAGTAGTTAGGCGGGGTGTTTTTCACCGGTTTTTGAAAATCAGCATTCGAAATCCTGATATTTAACTTAGGATTTAAGAATGCCAATGGGAAATACGAAAATAAAAGGGGTGGGGAGTAAATCGATTTGGATGAGATATATATTCATTCAGATTTTCATAATACGAAATAATGCATTTTGTAAAGTGGAGAGTGAGAATCGAACTCACGGACTCTAGTAGATTGACAGATAATGTTTGCAACGCAACATTCACAAATCAATTTTTTTTTTAAATTAATCGAAAGATAATTAGATATAAAGTAAAACATAAATTAAAATATAAAAATTAATATAAAAAAAAGATTCATAGAGATAGCAAGCATTAAAAATATTCCGCTACTCAAATTATACAGGCTCTACATAAAGGCGCTCACTTCTTCCTAGCTATCATATACTTGTGGTATTATGCATCTCTTAATATACACACTGCTCTCTCTCTCTCTCTCTCTCTCTCTCTCTCTCTCTCTCTCTCTCACAACAGGAAAATTATTTTGTGGCTGGTTATAAACACAAATGCTTTTACTTTTTATATTCTTTTATGCAGAAAAATAAATAAACACACACATACACGCAATGTTCAGGCTTATATTCATCTATTCTTACTTAAATACAAAACGGTTATATGACTAAAACAAAAAATGAAACGAAACATTTACTGAAGTTATGCTATTTCTAAAATCTGCAATACCCAAGTGTAGGCGTATTAGAGCGCGAAAATGCTTGAAGAAAAAGCGAATTGGAAGTAGCCTTAACCGAAATGTGAGTATTTAGCCAACTGAATGTTTAGAAGCAACTCAACTTGGTCTTATTCTACAATAATGCAATTAATGGTTGTAAATATAGTTTGGCTTCACAAATCTACAAACATTAAAATGATGGAAAATAAAATACTAAAGTGGGCGTATACATGTCTATTATTACGTTTCTTACTTAATTGTCCCTCTATGCGTGATGTCTGTGTGTGTAGATAGAAATAAGATAGACAGCATCACTTATTAGTCATTATGTGTATATCTTAATTTATTGACAATTTCTAATTAGTTTGTCTTCACTAACAAATCGATTATTGCAGATAGAATAAACATCGCCCAAATCATGAAAAGATTAAAAGTGTTTAAGTTTTGAAAGATTCTGTTTATATAATTATATATATATGTGTGTGTGTGTGATCAAGGACTGGCTATTATCGAGGTTGACAATGCGTGTATCAGCTATTTTTACTACTATTTGGCCGGTAAGTTATTATTTTTTCTAAAGGCACACTCATCCGCTTTAAACATGACAATGACGAGTGATTTTTAAAAAAATCAGGCTTATAGATAAGGATTGATGCCTTTCCCAGAGTCATTAGTATAAATGTAAATAAAAGCAGTTTCAACATGAATTCCAACTGAGAGTATGAAGCCCCCCCCAAAAAAAAATTTGGAGATTTACATTAAATCAAGATTTCAGAAGTAAGAAAGAAAACTTACTCAAAAGTTGAAAAACTTGAAAACTTATTCATATTTATGGTCATGCATTTAAGTGCGTTTTTACAATCAACACGTTAAAACTACAAGGATAGCGTTTTAATTTCAACAAAAGGATAAATAGGATCTTATATCATTTAAACAACTTAAAAAACATTAGATGGCAGCAACGCATTTTATAATTTAACTACACACACACACACACACACACACATAAGGTGTGTGTGCGCGCGCGTGCGTATAATACAATCCTTTGCATACTTGCATAGATGTATGAATGCATACACACACATACATACATAGTTATATATATATATATATATATATATATATATATATAGATAGATAGATAGATAGATAGATAGATAGATAGATGTGCGTGAGTGTGCGTGTATGTGTATTAGGCAGATAGATCAACCGATAGAAATATGTGATAAATCCATGATTAGTTTTTACTTTTACCTCCATCAATACACCCATTACACGATTATCTAAATTATCTATAAACACACACAAGATAGATATGTCTCAGAATATCATTCCGTATATATATATATATATATATATATATATATATATATATATATATATATATATAATAAATTTATATATGCAAATAAGCATATATTAAAAATAGTGTGTTTGCGTGTGTTGACAATATAAATGGAAATCAATGAAATATTTGTGTGCGTTCGTGTGTATATGTGTGAGGATGTACACACGCTTACTAATTTTGAAATCGCTGTCATTTAAAAGAGTATAAATCATTTATCAGAATTCATAACATGCTCGTTCATTCATTTATCTATACCTTTATATATATATATATATATATATATATATATATATATATATATATATATATATATATATATGAGAATAAATGGTTCCTAATACTGGTTATAATTTTGAGGCATTATATTAAGCTAAATCTTAGAAATGTCAATTCGTGTCTGTTTGAATTTATAACAACGCATTCATGTGTACATTTATTTATTTGCATGTGTATATGTGTATATGTGTGTGATAGAAAGTGAGGGAGAGAGAAAGAAAAATAAACCAATATACTCGTTTCATATCTAATACAAATTATCTGTATCTCATTGTCTGCCTCTCTGTTACGTTTTAATTATATATCAATATTCATTCTCGGGACATTTCTTTTAATAACCGCAATGGAGTTTACTTGTTGAGTGAGTGGCGGGGCTTCGCTCTGACATTTAAATTCAGTGTTCGAATCCATGTTCGGTTTGTTGATTTTTCAAACAAACAGTTCTTTCCACTTTCCAGTTAAGACGATTGACATAGCATAACTTAGCAGTCGATGTATTTACTGTATTTCAAACACCTATAATCTGCTTTCTACTTACCCCTCATAATTTCTATGCCCAGACCTTGTAAATTATTTCAATCCCTTTTTTCTTATCCCAGCATGTATACAAACAACGTTTTCCCCACATGCTTTACAAGTCAATCTGTTATTCGGACACACAGACACAAAATATTGGAACGGTTACAGCAGATCAACCGGTAAATACGATTTTTTTTTTACTTTGTTCCTGTGTTTTTTGTTTTTTATTTTATTTTTTCAATATCTTCGGTTTATGAGTGCGTATCTAAGTCATGCATATTTCAAACTACACCATCTCATTATTGTATTTTATACACAAGTATATAGACGGTAATACTTGTAAAAAACGACAGAAAATTTAAATTTACATCAAAAAAGCGACGAAAAACACACAGGTACAGGCGCACACAAAATTGTCGTGTCTTACACAAGCATTTGTCGATATGATTTATTTAAAATAATTTTTATATTTCGAGTATAAAATCATTTCCGTTTTTTTTTTCTTTTACTACCAGACGCTATACAATATAACTTCTCTCCCTCTCGTATTCTCTTTCTTTTACTCTTTCTGAATTTACAACACCCAGCGGCGCAGGCAAAAGAAAAAAAAAAACTCAATTTGCATGTTGCTAGAAATAATAAAAATAGGGGAGTAAATATTATTAAATAAAAAATTACGTCTATAAATTTGAAAATACGTAATAAATAAGTGACGAAAAAAATTACTTATGATTGTAATAACAAGATTATACAAGAACAAGACGATTATACAAAAAAGGCGTGGCTGAAATGTTTTTGGCCTAACCAAGAAGCGTGTCAAAAATTATTCTTATATGTAGTCATTTAGTTCGATCTGGAGAAGTAGCTTGGGCCGAAAACTTTTCAGCACTCCACGTAATAATAATAGTAATGATAATAACTAATGACGACGCCGATGATGATGATGATGATGATGATGATGATGATGATGGCTATTTGAAAGTTATGAGTTATTTAGAATATTAATAAAAGGGCTGAAGATTTGGGAAGACTTGCTGTCACCTAATCCACAATGATAACTAGCAGATAATAATCATAATATTCGAAGAAAGGGAATAATAATAATAATAATAATAATAATAATAATAATAATAATAATAATAATAATTAAGATCATTAAAGGAAATGTAGTTGAAAAGGGAAATGTGAGCTTATTCTCGAACAAATCACATATGACCACATGCACTACTTATACACATTATTTAATTATATACTACACAAGACACACCATTCACACATTTACACAAACGCATCCCTTCGTGCGTACACACACGCACGCAGAAAATTAAAGCGACGCAAAGATAAATGAAAAAATGGTATTACATTCAGTTTGTTTTTGTGTAAATATTGTGAATATAATATTATTACCAATTAATTTTACAGATGCGTCTATACTGAAGAAAAGACACCCACAAAGTTAAAATGAAGGAAGAGAAATAAATAAATAGATGATTTACGGAATGGAACAGATTTGGAATGCGAAGTCAATCATAAAATATACGACATACAGAGTTCAGGTTATACGAATAAATACGAAAGAGAAAAAAAATGGTTGACAAATTAAGATCCCATAACTCTTGTAACTGTCAGTGTTTGGATGCGTCACTTTGCGAAAATACCTTGCGTTGCGTCTATCGCAAATACATATATGTATATGTGTGCATCTGTATGCTGATGCCAAGTGAGTAATTAAAGATAGAAAAATATGTTCGTGGGAGTGAAGTACGCTTGAAAATGGGTTTTCATACACAGGTGTGTTGTGGGGAAAATTGGGGGGGGTGTATTGAAACATATGTGGGGACCTAACTCATTCGTGAATATACA